ATGGAAGGCAGGCTTGGATTCTGCAGGGAAGCTGCAGTAAGTGCTCGGTCTACAGGCAGCCAGGATCTTTCCCAACCTCTACTAACTAGAGTTAATGTCAATCCATGACCGCAAATTCCTGTTGATCTTGATAATTCTACATTCTATGAGGAAGTAAAATTTATTAGTATCCATGCCAAAAATGGCATACTCAGATGTTACTTATTCACTCTGACACACCCTTATACTATCAGGCGCTTCTGATTCTAAATTACCACACATTCCAGAGAATGCAATCCAGGGAATGCAAATAAAATTCATCTGAATTAAGAGGCTATGTCCCTCTTACATAAAAAACAACAACAACAACAAAACTTAACAACTTGACAAACTGGAAAGCTGTTCCTAGAAGGGAAAAATATTAAAGCATATAAATCATGATTGTGGCTGTTTTTTTTTTTTTTGGTGGGGGGAGTGGAGGAGGTAATTAGGTCTATTTATTTAATGGAGGTGCTGGGGATTAGAACTCAGGACCTTGTGCATGCTGAGCATGCACCCTACCACTTGAGCTATACTCTCCCCCTAGACTGGATATGTATATTTAGAAGTTGTCTGTATATAAACAGTATTTAAAGTCATGAGACTGGATGAGGTCACCATCCATTGACAGAGAAGGAGTAGGAACTGGGAACTGGCATTTTCTTATGTTCAGGAGTCAGGATAAAGAGAAGCCATCAGCAGAGAAACCTGGGAAGAACGGCCAGGGAAGCAGGAGGAAAGCCCAGAGTGTGTGGCGCGCTGGAGTCAGTTAACGTATAAGGTGAAGTGACTGGTCGCTGGCGCTGCGTTTGTATGGATCCTGAGAAGCCGCCATGGGACTTAGCATGGCTGCTGGAGACTTTTCCAGGGCAGTGTCGGTGGAGCTGTGAGGCCTAGACAGTGACTGGAGTGGGTTAGCAGTGAGAGGAAAAGCACTGAGCTAGTAAGAATCAAATAAATCTTTCCAGTTTTGCTGCAAAGGCACTAGAAAAACCAGGTGGTATCTGGTGAAGGAAGTAGGATTAGGTTTTAAAAAGGTATTTGTCTGCTGATGGGAAAATCAAGAAAGGGCAGAAAATTTGATGATCTTTAGGAGGAAGAATGGCAAACCAATGTCCCTAGGTAGAATCTAGTGCCTAAGGAGAGGGCCTAGGTTTGGGCAGAAATCCAGAGAGACTGTGGTTTCAGGAAAAAATTATAAATGACTTTGAGATGAGCAAAGAATATTACTGGTACCCTGTCTAGCACACACTTCAGGCTACCCTGCACCCTGCCTTTGAGCTATTTTGCAACTTTGTAAGTCACAGTTGGTAGGAATGCAAAAAATTCTTTTCCATATATATACAAAAGAATTTTGTCCAATGGAAGCACAATTGATTTCCCTCCCCAACTACTGAAGCTAGTTTGCGTTTATTAAGCAAATTCCTTTTGGCATGCCTCATTATCCCTATATGCTGCTCTTTGAAATTCTTCTTAGAACTGCTTCCAACATCTCACTGGTTCCTTCATTAATTAATGAGCTCAATAAAATCTTGGGTATATGTTCGTTTTACATTTGTACGAGAATCATTTTACATCCTTTAAAAAAAAAGTATCCTTCAGCAATAGTGATGGCAGACCGCACACACGGGCAGATGCTTAGCTGCGTGGAGGTGGCGGTGGTAACCTGTGGAAGTTCTCTTCCAACAGCTTCACTTCCCTGAGGACAGAGATGTGGCATAATAGCATTGAGAGAGTGAATGGACTAGGGATGTTAGCATGACCGCAGCAGTGAGGACCCCTTGAGGTCAGCGGCCCTGGATTTGAAGGGGGCTGTCTGTGGACTATATTTCTCCTGCCATAGTCCAGCTGCACAGATGCACACGCAAAGGAAGGAGGGTTGAATTTAACCAGGGGTGTGCCTTGGCGAAATCAGCAGGAAGAAGCAATGTGGGGAGGACAAAGAGTTGGGGATATATACAAAGGGATGAATTAGAGTGATTCACTTGCAATTTAAGCAGGGTTAAGGAGATAAGAAAAAATTCAGGAGAGGTGAAGGATAATAGCCATGTCTTGACATCAATAGATTGAAGGTCCCAATGAGGTGGAAAGACTGTTGGAGCTACTGTACTAGAATAATAAGCTGGAAAGTCAGAGAAGCAAAATCTCTCCACCTGGGGCTGGCATCCCAGTGTTTGAACAGACATTCTGTTGTTTAAGGGTCACTTACCTGCTAACCACCGAACTCCTCTTTTTGTGCGTGGAAGTACAGATGTTTTGTGGAGTTACTTCCCCCTTCTCCTAGTTTATTCTTATCTTTCTCAATGAGATAATTCCATGTGATCAAGTCTTGTTTTCTTCAAGAGTGAACAAAATCTGCAGACAGGCAGCACGATGAGCAGGGTCTCCGTGGAAGGTTGTACGGTTTGTGCACTGCACAAGGGAAAGCAGTCTGAAGGGTGAGTGGGCTGAGATCCAGCTCAAGCTCTACTCATTGAGCTGCAGCCCCATCACCAGCTGCCTTTTGTGCCCACAAAGGTTCATTTCTGTTCTCACGGGGATGTTCCTAGAGTAACAATTTTCCTAAAGCACAGCAAGATGCCACGTAGGCCGGGGGCCCTGATAAAAACTGCACATGTGCTATGAGGTTTTACCCAGAGGGGCAGATTTGTGTTTTCTAGAGAAACCCCTTGTATTCTTTTGTCTTCTAAGTACTTCAAATGTTCTTTTGAAGAAAGAGACCTGATATTTCTCAATTATGTGCAAAGAGTAGCTTTTTATAAGTTATTTGGATAATTACATTTTGCTTTCCCCAAAGCCAATACATGGCTTTCTAGGCCACTGGTATTTGAAAAAAAGGATGAAGAATGCATCATGTGAATTATTTAGGGATCACTGCCACATCCACTGTTTTTTGCCCATCAGAAAAATCTTAGGTTAGGGGGAGGGTATAGCTCAGTGGCAGAGTGCACACCTAGCATGCACGAGGTCCTGGGTTCCATCCCTAGTACCTCCATTAGAATAAATAAATAAATAAACCTCATTACCACCTCCCCCCCAAAAAGAAAAATCTTAGGTTAGACTAATATAAGACACCTAACAAAAATCAGCTGAGTATTTTTTTCTGATAAACAATGTGGGCAAGTGGACAGAAATTGCTTAGGTCGGTGTAAAAGATTTCTACTTGTTCATTTACTATTTTAAGATCTCCTTTAATGTACCAATTCATTTTGAGATACACTGCTTATGAATGCTCCTTGAGTTCTCAGGTAACTTTAGTTATGCAGATATTTACAGTCTCTTTAAACTATTAAGCTTCATATAAAATACTGGCAAAGGCTTTTTTTGGGGGGTAGGAACTCTAGCAATAACCACTCATTGAATTAAAAATATAATACAGAACAGAGGGAGGGTATAGCTCAGTGGCAGAGTGTGTGTTTAGCAAGTGTGAGGTCCTGGGTTCAGTCCCCAGTATTTCCATTAAAATAAACAAATTATTAAACTTAATTACCCCCCCTCAAAAAAACAAATAATAAAAACATAATATAGAACAAAGCTTTGCAGAGGTAAAATAATCCATGCTAACTGAAAGCAAATGTTAGTAAAGAGGATGAGCTACAACTTGGAGACTTAAAAACAAAGGCTATTTTCAGCACTTTTACAGTCAGTAGTTAATCCAGGCAACGCTGTTATGGGAAATCAGTATCACTTCCCCAAACTTAATAGTAACAGAAAATGAAAGATTAAAGCTTAAGAACTAAGCCAATAGGAAAATCAAGAATCTCCACCCCCAAGCTATTTCTGGATTATCCATGAGAAGAATTTGCAAACTCTCTGGTGCTCTCCCTTTAGGCACATGGAATATTTTCACTAACACAAAGAGCAATGCTGCCTGTGATCTTGCAAGCACAGCACAATTTTCAATTATACCCCGTGGCTGAGCTTTCATCAAAGACCACACGACTTTCTTCTGAGCCCCTCTGAGGACATCACTATTTCTTTTGTTTTGTATTCACCTAAAAATGCAGTGTTTGGGCAAGGAGGGGGAAGGGAGAGCAGGAGACAGAAGTGTGTGAGGGACTGCGAGGCAAGCTGGGAACACTCTCTCACAGCCCAACAGGATTCTTCACAGGGGATGATCATTATTTTAATTAAAAGTACAATGAAATTCCAGAACAGCAGCCAAATTCCTAGTCTAACCTAGTATAAAATTGCATGCAAAAGCAAAATACATTTTTCTCTCCCAATAATATGCTACTAAAAATCATTTATGCCATTCATGTGGACATTAAGACCAAAAAGTAAAGTGCTTCACAATTCTAGTGTAGAGAATTTTGTTCCTGAGTCTTGGTCCTGAGGATGGCAAATCTAAATAATTAAATGAAATGAGTATGTCATTTATTTGAATGAGCAGCTGATGGAAGTGGTATTTGATTGTTGAGGGAGAAAAGTCTACATCAGAATTGTAAGAACTTCACAATATGCGCTGATACACATATATTGCAACTCAGATTAAAAGGGTCTGTTTAACAGCTTTGGTTTACCCCTCCAGGGATGGGGGTGGGGGGATATTCTTAGACTGCATTCCATATGGGCCTGGTTAGTAACAAGGTTCTTTCCCCCAGAGCATGGTACATCTTAGTGCAAACCCTTAGTACCCAGTACACTATAAGAAGACATCTACATAAAAGGAACAAATTTAACACCTCAGCCAATCAGCCAGTAAATCTTATGCTGCATGAATATGCAGTTTTTACTGTGATGCTCAGGCTACGGTATTATTTTCTACTTTCACACCATGCATTTATATCCACTTGACTTGCATGGGCATTTTCTTTAACATAGGCTATTTTAAGTGTAAACTTTAGTTGAAAATATCTTTGGATCCATTCTATTAGTTAAAAGAAACCCAGACAGACATTAATCCAATGTGAATAACAACATATGAATGAGGCTACAGCACTACCCAATCCAGAGTGTCACTCAGTTCCACTCATGAAGGCTTTTTAGACATAAATATAAAAATATTTTAAGGTACTTGCTTGAAAAAGCTGTCAAAAAAGTATTAAATAAAAGAGGTTTCAAACTTTTTGTTAGGCTATGATTTGAGGGGGAGATGATTACTGATGGTTACATAACTGGAAGCCTTTGTGGCAATAAGTAAAAGTATAAACCAACTCCAACAAACTCATTTTTCCCTGAATCCACTTGTGTGCAATTACACATTGTTGTTATTTTTAAAGGCTATTCTGCTTTGACTGAAATGCAACAAGCACTTACTGAGCACCCACTACACTTCTTGCTCTATAGTTCACAGTTAACCTTCTCTCTTCCTTTGTGTGTGTGTGTGTGTGTGTGTGTGTGTGTGTTTATGTGTACGTCTGAAGCTGTCTGTATGTCTTGGTTAGTTTGTTTCTGAAGCAGCTTGGAGAAGTCTCATCTACTTTTTAGCACTTGGTTGGTGTTATAACACATCTCAGAAAGCAGACACAGCACTTTGGGGTCTGCCAGAAGTATTTCTTCTTTGAAGACTCAATGTCTTGAGAGGTATTGCTTTGCTCATTCAGTGAAGACTTTTGGGTACAGAAATGGAACAGAGAGTTTTAAACAGTTCCACAGAAACTGTACTTTGGTCTCTAGACTTGTCTTTAGGAATTGAACCTGTCACCTGATTTACCTTCTTCATGACTGAGGTTATCTTAGAACAGAAATGGCAGGAAAGCTTTCCTATGCTTTGGGTAGGAGACAAATTTGCTTTTGTAGAATTTGTGGCTGAGGAAAGCAGACAGGGCCTGGCTGAAGAAGACGTATGTTACCACGAGCCACCAAGTTAAGTTGTGGAATCCAAAGGTGACAGCCATGGAAATGTAGATCATGAGCTCTGCTAAATAGTTGGGGGAAGAAACATATTCAAACCAGTCTCCAAAAGGGATTCGGTGGTTGCAGTGGATGACCACTCCTGAAATGGAAAAAAAAGATATCCTAAATGTTTGAAGTTGCCAAAAGAAAGTTTTACCACTTCCCTCCCCAAATAATTTATAAAAACTCATTTAGAAAAGGCTGTCACAGACCTGGGCAAAACACTATCCTTCATACTTCCACTGTCAGTCTACCAGGTATTAAAAAGTCACATGCTTAGATTACACTAACCAACTATAAATAAACACGAAGGAAAGCCCGCTTCTTCAACGGTCCTCCAAACTAGTAACTAAGAGCTCAGACTCCAGAGCCAGACTACAAATTCAGGCTGAGTTCAAACTCAGCTTTACCATTTATAAACTGTGTAACTTTAGATAAGTTGCTTAACCTCTCTGTGCCTCAGATGCTTGATCTGTAAAATGAGAATAAGATTGTACCCTCCTCAAGTGAGTGCTGTGAGGCCACATATAATGCCCTCAGAACACGGCTGGCACAAAATAAGCACTTGATAAATGGTTAACAGTACTATTCCATGCTTCATATTTCAAAAGCCCAGTAAAAACCGTGCCTGTGGTAAGTCAACACGAGCTAACTAAAAAGTCAGGTTTTTTTGCTTTTGCCGGAATGATACCAACTCAGATGGTATACTAGTGCTCACATGCTGGGTAGACACATGGATGCAGGGTAGGCCCCCAAACGTGGGCACAGGATATAGTCATAGAATGCCAGGGCTGGATGGGGCCAGAGAGCGTTCCAGTAAAACGCTCTCCTTTTACAGACAGGAGGATCAAGACCCAGACTCTTGTCAAAATGACTATTTGATAGATTAGCCAACTACTTAGAGCAGGAAAGAAAAGAGTGAAGGAACATGCATAAATAACTTCTGAGGGCTAAAATCCACCTGCAGCGGCTTTAGAAGGTGTCTCACCTGCTTTATTTTTCCTGAGATTGCCGAGAATGACGTGGCACTTATACTGATGGACAGATGACCAGATGAACATTATCATTCCGAGGATATGGAACCACCGAGCTTGCATCAGGAGATTTTTCCCTATCACATAGGCTACAGAAATAAGAATTATCTTATTAGCCAACGCTGCAAAATTTCAGAGACTTGGAGAATTAAAAAATCGTACAGTCAGTAGAACACATTTATCTACCTATTCCGTTCTTTATGACTAGAAAATCATCCAGATGTAATTTCCCAAATACGGGGAGAACACCGGCCCTGTGGGGGAAGGAGGTGTGCTCCTTAGGCCAGGGGCACTTCAGTGGCCCCGGGCAGAGAATTCCACACCGACACGTCCTTTTTCTCCTTCTTCCAGTGCCTCAAGCACAGAGGTCAGCTCTGTCTCCCTCCCTTGTGGTGCACTCTTGGCAGTGAGACTACTCTGCATCTTTATTATCTTCATCTAAGCCTGGTTTTAGGTCTTCTTTCTTGTAGTCTGCTGTCAGAAAAACATGTCCTAAAGGACCTCACCTTGAGCTGTTGCTAGGGGAACCTTGAATGCTGACTTGACTGGTTCCAGCCAGTGAAGAAAATCACTGGAAGTGAAGGCTAAGGGTGGGGGCTTCTCAAAAAGAGGAGGAATGTAGACTGCAAGATAAAAACCAAAACGATATCCCTTCCTGATTAGAGAGCCTAGTCACAGAGATTTTGTTTCAGGAGTAGAAATATTCAAAGTATCATCTTCCTCTTTCTTCTCCAGCTACCAGGAAAATGGGAAGAGGGCAGGTCTTCCAAGGACTGGCGTCAGAAGAGCAAATTAAGGACTTCTCTATGTTCATCAGGAAGTAGTCAGGCTAGTCAGGGACTCAACTAAAGAAACAAAGCTGTCCATTGACAACAGGCACGAGTCTGAGGCTCTGGAGCCCAGAGGGAGCCCCTACAAGGTTGATTCAGGAAAGAGAACCAAGGATCAAGCTATTCCATTATGAACCTGGAGGCAGGACTTAGCTGATGACAGCTAATGACAGTCCACCAAACTCTACCTATGTTAATTTCTTTTAAAAACTTGCTCTCTATAAACAATCTACTGTAGTCTCTTAATGTTTACTAGGCTTAGCCACTTAACTAAATAATTCTATTTTTATAAGTTAAAAATAAAGACAACATGAAAATAGTTTTAAATCAGAGGGCTTTAAGAGTAAGTCACTGTAGGATCAAAAGTTGAAGCAAGTGTCTGAGCATTCAAGCCACCGCCAACTGACCTACTCTGAATGCAGAGAAATTACCTATGAGGGAAGAGATTTGTAAGAATAAATTCGGATTACAATCCAGGAAAGGGGACGCAGGTGGAAGGCTCATATTTACAGAGCGTCTAGACTGTGTAGTATTTAATTATTCATTTGTTCATTAGTTACTTATTGAGTGTCTACTAAGCATGGCATCTCTCATGAGGGATAAAGCAGTAGATAAGTCAGGTAAGATCTCAGCCCTCATGAACTCACATTCTAGTAGCAAGAGACGAAACAAGTTAAAAAAAAAATCAACAACCAAGATAATTTCAGGTAGAGATGGTACTCTGAAGAAAAAAATAACAGAACAACGTAATGGAAAGTGACTCGTGGCAGACCCTTTAGACTTTGAAGACAAGGAGACATACTTTCTTTTCAACCAGCACCCTCTGAAATTAGTACCTGTCCCTAATTCCAGACAAAGTTTCTGAGGCTCAGAGAAGTTATTAAATGAGCCAGAATTCAGACTCAGGCCCATCCGACTCCCAAGCCCCCATCATTTCTAGCAGACTCTGCAGCTGGCAAATGCCCCATGTGTTCTCTCTCAGTGAGTGCCTGAAACCAGTTCCCATACTGCCCAAATGACTGAAGATGATCTCTTGAAGGACAGGTGGGCAATTCACAAGTTTCAGAAAGCTTCGGAAAGAAGTGTCAAAAAGCTATTTTGTGGCTGTCTGGGCAGCCTTTCCTTGACTGTTTATATAGGAGGTAGGGTGGGCGTTGGAGTCCAGCTAGCAGAGAAAACGCCAAGAAAGACGTATAATGCTAACAGGTTGCAAGACAGTGGGTTACCAAGGTGCTTTGGAAAGTTCTTTTTGGTGAAAACCTAGGACTGCTCTCCAGGAATGACAGCTCAAACTGTGACACGGGCAGCACCAAGATGCCAGGAAGCTCAGGGAGGAAAGACTGACTTAAGCTCAGAGGAATTAGATGGGGAGATCCTGGCTGATTGGCTGGAGCCAATAAATAATTCACAAATTGAGAAAGACTGTCAATAAGCAGTCCTTTAAAGTCATTCCTTGAGCCACGGAGGCCTTGCATTGTCCTATAGCAACAGAGAAAGGACATACACTGGAATCAAACCTGAGGAGAAAGCTCACTGAGCACTGGAAATATCCAGACCTTGAAGACCAACTTCAACCCCACTGAGGGAAACCCCACATCCCGTTTCTCCATCCTCACGCAGGGCCTCCTGAAGACTCTGCACTTCACTCTCATTACTGAAGGCACCGCTGCTCAGTCGGTCTCTCTCAGGTTTTGGCGGTTATGGTTACTGTGATGTATAACTGCGAGGTACCCTCGGGCATGTTGACTCTGTAAAGCTACAATCAGAGCCCAGACTCCTCTAATGCAAAGTGGATCGGGCAGGTCTCCTACTTACCAGCTTCCATTAACGCTTGGGGGAGTGCTTCTGCTGCGCCTGCAGAGTTTCGCGTATGCCCAGTGGCTCAGCCACCAGACCCCAGCGGCCACTCACCGTTCCTGCCGTCCATTGGCACTTGGCTCAGCACAGTCAGGCCGACGAGGACGTAGTAGACCAGTCCAAAACAGTACTGCACGATGTGAATCACAGCATTGGAGAAGACGCTGACGTAGACGCACTCGAAGAGACGTCGTAGGCTGTGCAGCCACAGAAAGGCCAGCACTAAGAACGCTGATAGCGCCAGCTCACCCCCTACGGTTCAGAGCAGAACGCACTTAGCACCTCTCTGGGACTCATCCAGCGTTACTCCTTTCCTTACTGTTAAACCAGATCAGACTTAGGAAGGGGCCCTAGAAGTCATCCAGTCTAACACCTCCCTTTTTTGTGGCAATGAGGGAGTGAGTGGAAGTGAGGAAGTGAAGTCAGGGAATTTGGCTCAAAGTTACACAGTAAGCTAGTGACACGGCTGGGACAAACTCAGGTCTGCTTCGTGATGTAAGAGCCTTCTGGGTCACGTGGCCATCAGTAGGACGGGGTCTGGGCACTCAGAGCCCGACCGCGGTCTCTGGTCCCTGGCACTAATGCCAGACGAAGATGGTCAGGAACAGTGCCTGTACGACCTGTGAGCCAGGACCAGGTGGGATCCCTGAGGTCAGGGGGCACAAGAGACACAGTCACGTACAAAGGCAGAAAGAGGGACAGGACAGAGACAGGGAGAACTGTGCATTCCTTTCCATGTTGAAAAAAAAAAAAAGAAATTATACTTTGAGGGACAGTGAGGATTGAGACCTATCTTCCTATCTGCTTCTCATACCTCTGCCCTAAAAGAAGTCGGAAGAAATGCTGATTTTAAAATGAATAAAATAAATTTTTATTCATTAAAACTTTTTAAAAATAAAAATCTGGATGTTTTAAAAAATGTGATCTCATACACTCATTGTAAAAATACAAGAAGGATACAGCCTAATGGAATTTCACAGACTAAACCAGCCCATCCCACCCATACGACCAGCACCCAGATGAAGAAACAGAACACAACCAGTACCTCCTTGTACTCCCTTCCAGGCACCGCCCCCCATCCCAAACCTCCCAATGGTAAGCCCTTCGGAGCCACCCATCACGTAGATTAGCTCTGTCTGCTTTTCTATTTTAAATATAGTAAAATCTAGTTCTAACTCTTCAGGAATAGGTTTAAATTAAAAAACAAATAAAACCCCAGCCAGCCCCACAGTAAACAAATGAAGAGATGAAGTTTAACTGGGTGAAGTGGGGTTCGCTGAGGTGTATTCCCCTCCCAAGCAGATTTGCATAGCTCTGTCCTTCTGTCATCTTTTGCAACAAATCCCTCTGGTTATTCAGAAAAGGACTGTTCCTAGGCAGCCAGCAGTTTGCAACAAAGGACAGAGAGAGCACCAGAACAATTTGTTTCTAATTCTGCCCCTCTTCTGCTGCCTGACATTAATTGAAGCTGCTTTACGGTTTTCACCTTCAATTCCTTATTTAAAAAATTGCCCTGTGTATCTTTTATCTGAGGCACAGCGAGGCAAATTTAAAGGCTATTTTGTAATCATCTGGTCAACAACTATTTACAGTCAATTTTATTATATAACCAAAGCCTTACAGCATAACAAACATTTTTAACCCATGATCAAAAAGTAATTTTCTATCAAATTTCTGGAGTCTGGAGACATTTTGGTTGGAACTATATATATGATAAATGTTTCAAGGCAAACCCAAGGGATCCTAAAAGCCTTTCCTCTTAAGTGTAAAGACTGCATAAATTTATCAACAGTACTAAAAATATCAGAGGGGGAGCAGCCAGTCCTGTCCACAGCACAGTTCTTGCTGGGAAGTCAGGGACGGAGAGGTGACTCTCAGCTCTGCTATGGTCTCAGTGGAAGACTTGGGGCCGTCCCCTTGGCAATCCACCTGTGATCTGCGTAGAACCCTTCTTGGCCCCACCCTCCACCTCCCAGCCCCTGCCAACGAGGAACCTGAGAGTGGCTATGAAACACTGAGAACAGTTCCCCACAGGTAGGAAAGACAGGAACAGGATGCAATGGTTGGAACTGGCCAGGGGAGTTGTTACCTCGGAACTGCGCAGCCCCAAGAATTCTGAGCAAACCATGAAGCCAGTTCGGAAAAGGCGCTCCCAGGAACAGAGACTGAGTGAGGCTCCAAAGCAGGAAGCCATTCCACAGCACTGAGATGATGTAGAAGTGAGAAAAATACCTGCGAAGGAAAACACGTTAGGTGACAGGGTAGATCCACTTTAAGCCATTCTGCAGGAAGACTATTTTTAGTTTCCCTACACTTTTTGCCCCCAAGTACAGTTTTGCTTTTTAATAGAACCTGAATCCTGCAGATGTACAGATTTTTAAAATTCCCTTTCAAATGATGGAACTCATTAACTCATAGGAAAAAGAAGTTTCCTGAGGTTAACAAGAACACGAATGATCTTATTAAACTCAGATGGAGGGTCAGTTAGGTATCTCTCATCTTAAGGTAACTAGACTGGGCTCAGACTCAAAAACAGGGGGCCCCAGGGCCTGGCAGAGACAGCCCACATTGTGCTAACACAAGCCACATCTGTGGGAGATTTTTAAATCTTGAGTAATGTTGTTGCAACAGCCATAGAACTGTTACACAAGATTTGTACAGTAAGACTCTTAGGGGTTACAAGAAACCTTAAAGGTCTTCTGATTCAGTGTTTCCTAAGTTGTGTTGACTTAAATTACTTTTATAATAACATGACAAATATTAACTCATAAACTATCAACTCCTGATGGGTATAGCTCTCAGACAAGCATAGCACCTATTTTGAAATCAACATAATAACAACTGAAATAAAACCACAAAGCCAATAAAAATTGAAATTAGTGATTAGCAATGTTAATTTAGTGTGAAAGACATTGTTTGCCACAATGAAATCACCTAATATGGCAAAAGGGCTAACACAGCTTCTTTTGAGGTCTCTTTACCTACCCTACTTGTCTGTTCAAATCAACTCAAAACCTCTGACTCTGCAGGGTGCCTGGAGGTCATCGGGCCTTCCCTAGTGTTCAGTGCACCACAGCTATATTGAGCCTGCCTCTTTCTTGTCTTGTTAATCTGTGATGAAGTAAGAGGGCCTGGAGTCCTGCACAGAGTCTCAGGGACTCCTCTTCCAGTTGATCCAGAATATGCTTGTATCTGTCAGAACTCGCAGCACCCTCAACCATGCCCACAACTCAGTTTCACAACACTGATCTAAGATGATCATTCCACAGCAACCCACTCAATTCTCCCTACTAGTGTTGCTAAGTTCTATCGCTGGGTCTGTCCTCTCTGAGACGTCCTGTTATTCCCAATTCTGATCTCCAGGCTCAAGAGCTTCGTTTCCTCCACAGTTCGTACGTGAGCATCAATTCTCCCCTCTGGCTTTTGGGTGCCTCTCTGGGTCTTCCTTAAGACATACTTCCTAGAACTGAGCTCAGGTCTGGTCTGAGTCAACAGAGCAGAGTATTAGTAGCCCTTGCCCTGCGGGCTCCCATGGAAAGGGGAAGGGCCGGCTTCTGAGGAGAAACATCTGGATCAGTTACTTTACCTACTTCATATTAAACAAACATTTATCGAGCACTTACAATGTGCTAGGCAATGTTCTTGGGGCTAGGGACTCAGCAGCGAGCAAACAGATCAGGTGCCTGCCTCAGTGAAGTTTACCTTTCAGCAGACCTCTAGCCCCATGCTGGAGAGGGGACAGAGTGCAGAGGGGAGGCCGTGCTGATGGGTGGTCAAGGATGACCCTCTGGAAGGGACACTTGGCTAGAATGAGTAACCCTTGGGAATTTCTGAGGAAAGAGTTTTCTAGGCAGAGGAAACCACCACCACAAGAAGCCCTGAGGAATAAAGGGCATCTGTGTGGAGAGGGCTAGGGCTCGAGGCAGGAGGGGCAGGCACTCTAGGGCCCTGTAAGGACACTGCTTTTATTAAGTGTGGTGGGGAGCCATCTGAACAGAGTGACTTGAAGTATAATTTATGTTTCAAAAATCCCTCTGGATGATGGAAAAGTTCTGGAATGGATGGTGGTTGCACAACGACATGAATGTACTTAAAGACACTGAATTGTATACTCAAAAAGGGTTAAAGTTTTACCACTTTACCACATATACCACTGTTGTCATGTATATTTTATCACACACAAAAAAAGAGCATTGCTCATCCATTTCACTCTTCTTTAAGTTAAAAAAAAATCCCTCTGGCAACTAGGTAAGAGAACAGACTAGTTGTGGGGAGACCAGTTAAGATTATTTCATCTTCCCAACACTCCTGTGAAGTTTATGTGGTTATCATCATGTGGCAGATAAGAAAACGAAGGCTCAAGGTTAAGTTACTTATTCAAGGTCATGCATTAAGTGGCAGTGTTTGGCTCCAGACTCAGCCCTGATGACTCTGAAGTTAAATCACACAGCTGTGCTCCTCTTCATGCAATCTAGACTCTGCTGAATCTGCTTTTCTGGCCCCACATTGTACCAATTTATATGACAAACCCTAAGTCAACCAAGTCACTGAAGTATGTTTGATATAAGCTGCTAAGCCACATCTTGCGGGGCCCTACTTGTGCCATGGGGTTTTGACTCACAGGCAGATTATTTTTCTTATTCTTATTATCTTGCACATTCTATCTTTTGTTTTGCTTGCCTGACTTCCTGCTAGAATAAATATGTTCTACTCCTTATTCAAGGTTGTATCTCTTTTAAAAGACTCAGCTGTAGCCTCAAAAGCAGATCTAAAACTTCACTTCCTTCTATTCCAGACACCCTCCCTCTCCCCCCTCCCTGGGGGACACTGTTTAATTGAAGTGAGCCCCTGGGAGCAAGGACAGGGTGACCCTTATGGTAACAGAGGCCTGGGCACCCAGCAAGCACTCTTCTGATTTAACGCACATTTTGGTGCTTATCATAAGCCAGGGACCACTCCAGGCTCTGGGGATACAGCAACGAACACAACAGACAGCAATTCCTGCCCTCATGGAGCTTATACTCAGTTACACACAGAAGCAAATTTTACAGCATGTCAGTAGGTGGTAACTGCTACTGAGAAAACTAATGCTGGAAAGAGAAGAAGGAATGCTGGTGATGGTAATATCATACTTTCAAAAAGGATAGATAGGGTATTCCTTACTGAGGATATCTGAGCAGAAATGAGGGCATAAACCAGCTGGCTATTTGGGAGAACAGCTTCCAGATAGAAGGAACAGGCAGTGCAAAGGCCCTGAGGTGGGAGAAAGAATTAGCAGGGAAGCCCAGGAAACTGGACTGGAGCCACATGGGGGGCAAACTATAGGAGACAAAGTCAGTGAGGTGGTGGGGAACAGACTGTATAGGGTCTTTCGTAATTCCTGTGAATGAGCTGGAAACCACTGGATGGTTTTGAGCCAGGAGATACGATCTGACTTAATACACACATGCTAATTGCCAGAACTTGTCCCAGGACCAGTTAGGGGAGTTAGGAATTAACAAAGAAAGGCAGATAATGGTTACTGAGTTCTAAGTAGGTACCTAGCCCTGTACTACGTGTTTTAATGTCATCACCACATATATGACAAACAGGTGCTATTATGTTAACACTCTAGCCCACACCACCACCTCCTGCCTGGACCACCATAACAGCCTCTTATCCAGCCTTCTCCATCCACCCTTTCAAACATAAATCACAAATGCCATGCCCCCTTCCCCATTCTAAAGCCACTTTCCATACATTCAATAAAATCGAGTCTCCACCATGGTCTGTGAGGCCCTGGAGGGCCAGCTGTCCTGGCCTCCTGAAATGAACTCACCTCCTGCCCTGCCCTTTCCCAATCAATCTTTCTAATGCTGTCACCCCACCCCCATCTTGCTCATGATCAAGTAACCATGCTGGATTTCCTCTGAAGCACTTATTATCAACTGAAATTATATTGCATGTTTTACAGGTTTGTTTACATACTTACTGTCTGATAAAAATAAAAGCTCCAAGGAACCTGGAAAAGCTCCTGGCCCACAGTAAGCACTCTACAAACACTGGTTAAACAAATGAACTAAAGGGAAGGTAATTCATCCAAAGTTACTCTCAGAGAAAGCAGAATGTTAATCAACAAAGCAAGTAAGCCCCCAAATCTCTCTTTTTTGACTCACTCAAAACACTGATCAAAGACTTTATTATCTGTCAGGCACTGAGCCAGGGACATGGCAACAAACAAGACAAATGTAAATGCATCACAGGTTTACGGTCTCGAGCAGGGTTTTCATAGTATTTTCCTTCCGTAGACTCCTTTGACAGTCTGGTGCAGGCTACAGGTTCCTTCCCAAGCATAAAATACATAGGGATTACAAAGAAACCCAATTATATTGAAATATAGGTAACACAACCACTAAGGAACATTTGTGCCATAGTAACATATGTGCTTCTTAATGTATTAAGTAACAAGATCTAATGGAGACTACTACTACAGTATTTTTATACTGACGAAAATAATGTTTTGAGATCTCTTCAGTATTCTTAATATATTAAAAAAATTATCACAAAATTGCAGGTACTGCTAATTCTACTGTGGTTTGTTGATTACATTCATCATTAAGGAAATGCTGAATTTCAGTTAGAGGTTAGTGAAATAAAGATGTACTTTTTTCCACTCCAATTTGCCTGGAATTCTATGCGCAGATCCCCTGGACTGCTGGTTAGGACCCCTGAACCCCATTAGGGAAAGTCTGGACAGTTCTCTTTGCTTCTAGAGCTCAATTCAATTGCAATATTTCAGTAACATTTTGAAATACTAGAAACAGAAGAAATACTTCCATATGTGCTATACAAGTTAAGAGTATTGTGCTTCATGTTCGAAGTCATGTATCTATTCAGACTTTCTGGGAAATCAAAACTCTAGGAACCAAAAGGAAACCAAGAAAAGCAACCATCACCTTAATTTAAAAAAAACCTACTGGACAGGGATAATGGAATCAAACATTGCACAAACTAATTTAAGGTTTAATTCTTGCCTCTTTAGGAGAAAAAGAAAATCTCAAACAAAATCACCTACGCTCTTGGGTGCAGAAATGTGACTTACAGCTGCCTATTTCTAAGTGTAAAAATTATAGGCTTATTTTTACCTTAAAGAGTCCTACTGAATTTTGAACAAGGAAAAATATTTAAATACAGCATCTAGACACTTTTGCCTTTCATTATTGGCCTGGATTTGCTGTACCTTCTCTAGCATGAAATGAAGTTTCAGTTTAAATTCAGAAAAAAGCCAAACAAAACCCCACAGAAGGATCCATTCTAGAATTCTGGAAGAATAAAACGATGTAAATTATTTCATAATACAGTAAAAATTACAAGAAGCCCAAAGATCACCAACTTTGTAGTAACGAATAAGGAAAGGTACAAAATCTGTTTCTTGTCTGTCATATAATGACAGACTACAGTAGTAACAGGCTGAGTGCAGGGAATGATTTGAAATGTGCCCTTTAATCCAGAAGCACTAGTACCTTTTTTAAAACTCAGAAAATAAATGTCAGAATTCACACTCTCAAAAGCAATAATCTTTTTCTTCATTTCATAACATTAAAAACAATGACAATCTAGGAACACCCCCTGCTATGATGTAGAAAAGTACTTACTGCAATCAAAACCTGATTAAAAATATGATGACAGGAAATTTTCGTTTAAAAAGAGCCTCTAAGAAATAGGAGGTTTAACCATTCTCTTTGAATAGCCTACCCTCTCCCATGGCCGCATTCCCTTTACCCTAGGTCTCCCTTCTCAGGGTTAACACCTGATGAATCTTCCTCCAACAGTCAAAAGTGGGAAGCCACATTCCAGCAGCCAAGTTATCCTTAGCCCCCTTCTTGTCTGCGGATCTGGGGGGCTGCCCCTGAGTGGTTTAAGCGATAACCAAGATGTTTCCATACATCGGAAACCCTATCACATTCCTCCAGACTCCTTCCTAAGTGCCAATTGAGGATGTATCTCCAAGAAAAGCCACTGGTATATTCCTACCATCTAGAAGTCTCTGGCTGACTCTTCCCGGCTATGTTCTGAATTCAAAGTAAAAACAAACAAAAAACTATAACATGACTCACAATTTCTAAAAGAATTCTACTTAAGCCATAATGATTTAATCTTTCGCTGAGCTTAGTTATGATATCTGTTCAAAGTCAAATGGTGCTTAGGGACCAGGCTTGCCTAAAATATGCCATCTCCGGGCACCTGACGAGGTGCGGATTAGGAGGGTCAGTGCGGCCAAGGAGGTGGCACCAGTTGGAGACCAGGGTCTCGCCCTCCGTCCAGACTGCGAGGGTCGGAGAGACAAACAGGGGGCATAGAGGCGTGAACCGAGGGCCTGCTTTCATTTCTAGCGAGTTCCGGCGACCTCAGGTTAGATTATGAGTCCCTAGAGTGCAGGGGAGGAGAAAGAGAGAATATGGGGACAAAAGAGACTTTAACTTGCCGCCTGGTGACCAGGCCTAAATCTGGAAGCGCTGTCATTTCCCCCGAAGTTAAGGCTACATGCGTCCACAAGTGCATGTTCCTGTGCCCTCGAGGATGCGTGCGGCTCAGCTTCCTCTGTGTGGCCGGACACTCCGGGGATTCCGCCCCCAGGGCTACGCAGCAGACAAGTCAGTGCCGGCGGGCGGGCCTAGTTCGCGCCGGTCGGGGAACCGGTCCGGGCCTCCCCGGCTGGTCCGCGCCGGGCCTGCGTCCGCCTCTGCTGCCCCCTGCCGGCTGCCCACCGGGCGCCCCGGTTCTCC